ATATATCTCACAAATGGAAAAGTCCCAATGAAGGAAGCAACATATATCATTTACAAATGACTTAAAAAGCTTTAAAATATTTAAAAGCTATATAATAACATAGGTTGACTCTCAGAATTCTATCAGGCTCATATATATTGGACAGAAAAAATAACACATATCATTTTAAAATTACCAAAAAAGTATGATAAATAATAATAATTAACAATTTAAAATAACTGAAAGACATTTTAAAAGGGTAATTTTGTAATTTTATCCATATCACATAAATTAGGACAAAGTGACCAGTAATGTACGTTATTTCAAAGTTACATAAAAATATTATAAATCACAATAATTAATAACTTAAAGCATTTTTTTTTAAAATATGAAAATTTGGATGACTCCAAATTTCATTTGTGTCACATAAATTGAGATAACAAAAATAACATATATTGGGTCCATTTTAATTTATTTGTCTTATTTTTTTATATATTTAAAAATTGCGTAAAAATACTATAAATCATGATAATTGACAACATAAAATATGTTTTTGAAAAAAATACAAAAAATTCCACTGATTCTTGAAGTGAATCTATCGTAAAAATACTATAAATCATGTGACAACATAAAATATTTACAAAATGTTGTATGCGGGTAGTCTTATTATGCCTTAAATAGCGTCAAAGAAAGTATAGGTTTGTGATAAATAATCTTATTCCTTTATCCACGCAAACAATCGCTTCAAAAACTCGGTTATTATCCCCAAAACATACCATTTATATTATTGGGCCCGTGCATAGCACGGGCAACATTATCTAGTTTACTTATAAAAACTGGATCTTTAGTGGCAATAATCATAATTTCTCACTTTTTGCAAAAGCATATTACTCATTTTCGTCCTAATTTATGCAATATTTTTAAATTGTTCTTTTAAAGTTTAATTGAATCAATTCTATTTATCATATTCTATTTAACGTATGAAGCCATGTTATAATGCTGTTCAACCATATATTTAATTTAAAAATTAATTTATGCTATTGTCATAATTGACCTGGAAACAGCCTCTCTACCTCCACGAGGTAGTGGTAAGGTCTGCGTACATTCTACCCTCCCCAGATCCCACCTAGTGGGATTTCACTGGGTATGTTGTTGTTGTTGTATTGTCATAATTGAAGGACATTTTTATTTTTAAAAATAATCTCAAAGGGCATTTAATTAATTAATATATGAAAATAGGACATCTTTTGAGTCATTTACTATATGTTGAGGATGTTTTTAATCCCTTCTGTTTAAGAAAAATTGGGAACAGGAAATCGGACCCTCATCAATAAGATGAGAGTTTAAATAAGTATAGCTTACATAAATATTATAGTGTACAACCTAAATTACCTTCTATCCCTATTATTTTTGTAATTACATAAATCCCATATTTTTTAGGCATTTCGGATACATAATTAAGGATCCGGATACATTATTGTCGATACATTATGTATCAATCTGTTGCACTTATTAAGGAAAAAAAAAGCTGAAAAATCAAATTAAGATCTCATGGTATCCATTTGTTGCACTAATTAAGGGGGAAAAAAAGCTGAAAATCAAATTAAGATCCCATAAATTAGGTTATTCCATTCCAAATTATTGTCAAGAATTCAAAATCCTATAGTGTAACAAACCAAAAAATTCAAAAATTAAATTTCTTCTTCTTGTTCATCGTTCTCTCTGTTTCGTAAAAATTTTTATCGAAATTTTGGATAAGCGAGGTGAGTTATGAAGGATACAAAAGTGATGGAATTGTTGTTAGACAAACGATTTCTTTGGTGAATCTTCAAGTTCATCGAATATCCTTTCGATTTTGATTCAAGATTGTCGAAAATTTTGAGATTCAAAATTCTTCTCCAGTTCATTGAAGATCCTTTCCGTTTTGATTCAAAATTGTTGAAAATTTTGAGTTTCAAAATTATTCTCCTAGTTCATTGAAGATCCTTTCAATTTTGATTCAAAATTAACAAAAAAATTGAGAAGATACATTATGAAGATCCTTTCAATTTAAATTTATAAGTGTTGTTATTTCTACTGATACATTAAATAAGAAAGTGTTGCCCAGAAGATTTTAGGTTTGAGATCCATACATTATTATTTGGTAATTATTATGTATCAGATACATTTAGTATAAATTCGAATTTATGTAGCATAACTAAAAAATTAGTGCATGATACATTATTATTTATGTATCTTATTTTGTTTGAGATCATGAAGATCCTTTCAATTTAAATTGATAAGTGTTGTATTTCTACTAAATACATTAAATAAGAAAATGTTGCCCATAAGATTTTAAGTTTGAGATTGATACATTATTGTTTGGTAATTGTTATGTATCAAATATATTTAGTATAAATTTGAATTTACGTATCATAACTAAAAAATTAGTGTATGATTCATTATTATTTATGTATCTTATTTTGTTTGAGAAATACTATACTTTAAAATAAAATAAAATACAATATACATGTAATTGTTTCAAAATAGCTTCTTTTTTTTGTGTGTGATAAATAACACA